TTAAAAAATGTTCAATTGAAATTTTACCAATTTATACAAATTAGCCACCAATTCTCCACAATGTAAAACAGTTATGAATTGCCATGAGTGTATTTTTTTTTTACTCGGTGTTCTTAAGTAAAATACTTGCTTAAAAATTATTTTACACATTAATGGGTATCTGATGTTAAAGCAAACTGTGAAACTGACTCCAATCCTCTTTTCCACAGAGCAAGGAAAAATGCTAAAGCAGATCGCTGAGAGAACAAAAGCTGCCATTCATTTACATGGTGAGTCTCAAACTGTGCCTTTGACGTTTCTCTGTGCACCGGGGTTCATATACGTCATAGGTCATTTCATTTCAAGAAACTGAGTTTAGTATTTCATCTTATCAGATTCTCAAAAATCTGAGATTTATGAAAGGCGTTTGTTGGCGCAGAGCTGCTCAATGGCCTGCCACTTGTAACAAGGCTGAACGTTTCATTAAACATTAGCTATTGTGGATTTCTTAGCGTAATAGGACGTCATTCAAATACAGTCATATATTTGGCTCTCAGTGGGTGTCAAGAGGTGGGAAGACTCCAGTAAACTTTCTGATTACTTTATCGCATGTTCTACTGAAGATAAAAACTGTGATCATTAACCCAAACACCCAAATTGGAAACAGGCCCATTTCTACTAGTTTATGACCTCCGATTTTAGGATTATATAGTAAATACAGTTAAGATTTCATAGGAATGAGTTTGTATTAAGTTTTACCATTCTGACACTTTCGAAGTGCCTGTGGTCACATTCTCACACATTTATCTTCTCTGTTCGCAGGTGAGCATAACAGCAACTCACAGTCGGATTCACTGCAGTGGGTCAGCGGCGTGGATCAGTCGTTCGAACAGGGAGGCCTCAAGCTGGTCGACAACAAGATTCACATTCCCGCCGACGGCCTTTACTTTGTGTACAGCCAAGTGTCCTATGCCACACAGTGCAATTTGGACGAAGCCAATGAAGATGATGCCGCTCAGAAGTTCCTTAGCCACAGCATCTGGCGTTATACAGATGCGGTTGGAGACTGGAAGCCTCTGCAGAATTCGGCCCACTCCATATGCCAATCACTTGAGGACAGGAAGACCACATACAGCACCATCTATCTCGGCGCCGTCTTTAAGCTCATGGAGGGAGATAAGCTGTCGACCAAAACCACCTATGTGGCCAATGTCGAGGAAGACTATGCCAAAACATTCTTTGGAGTGTTTGCCTTGTGATTTATTAGCCACATGAGTTGTGTGGCACGGTATGAAGACAAGTGTTTTACGTTAAAACTTACAAAGTATGTTCTCAGGGCATTTGCTTTAAAGTAGTTTGTCTAATGCTGAGTCCTTATTGCATCGTGACATAATATTTTGGTTCTAAAACACACCAGATGCAGTGAGAGCCACGCACTGAATACTATGTATTTAGGCATGATCACAATACCAAGGGCACTACAACTCGCATACTTATTTTAAGCTAATATGATGTTTATTACCTTACGTATTTCGTTGCAGAAATAAGAAATGTTGATGTTCGAAAGAACAATGTTTTTTGTGGTATAGAGATTTATTTATAATATTTTGAGCGTATTTAATGTTTTTTATTTTATATGTCCTATTTAACTATTTATTAATGATTGTATATGCTATTATTTGTAAAATTAATGTACTGAAATTGTTTTTGACACTCATCCTGTGATTTTGACATTTTAACGGTGAATAAACCTGAAGTATCACTGTAATGCACTAGTCTCATTCCTATCAGCACTCCAAAAAGAAGAAGCAGTTTGTGACAGGTCATATAAACACAATGGGGGATTTTTGCATTCCTGTATGTGACTCGTGGTTCTTTATCCTTCTAAAGTCTGACTTCCGTTTATTTGTCAGAAATGAGGTCACTGCTTGTTTCTCTCATGAACGTTCGCTGCTTTCTCCCAGGTGTGATTCGAACAAAAGCCCAGGGCAGTGAATTAACAGGATTGCATCACTCCATTGGTTAAACTTGTGAAGGGTGGTGATCTCACAATTTAGTGCAACAATGTAACTGTGAATTCCAGGGGGTGCTTTGATCTAAAAGAACCCTTACAGGACAGACTCCCAACATTTTTGTCAGAATCGCCAGAAACTATTTTTTTAAAACAAAAATTAAACAGGTTAGATTCCCTTACAGCTAAAATGTGTAGTCTTGTATTTAAAGTGATGTGACATGTGGCCAAGTATGGTGACCCATATTTGGAATTAGTGCTCTGCGTTTAACCCATCCAAAGTGCACACACACACCGTGAACACACACTCGGAGCAGTGGGCAGCCATTTATGCTGTGGCGCCCGGGGAGCAGTTGGGGGTTCGGTGCCTTGCTCAAGGGCACCTCAGTCGTGGTATTGAAGGTGGAAGAGAGCGCTGTACATTCACTCCCCCCACCTACAATCCCTGCCAGTACGAGACTCGAACCCACAACCTTTGGGTTACGAGTCCAACTCTCTAACCATGACTTCCCCAGTATTTCTGTGAAAGATCATCAGATTGAGGGTTTAGTAGACTATAAGGATCGACATAACCACAATATCCCATCGAATAGCAAATTCTAAAATCCCCAACAGTGCAAGAAAGCAGCATTTAAATGAGGTGCCCCATGTTTATGAGCTTCTTTGAATAAATTGCATGCGTTTCTAATTCTTCTAACATACAGTATGCAGTGTTTAAATGTTTTACAAAACCTACAATGTTTTTTTGAAAAACGTATAAAATACAAAAATAATATTTTGCACTATTATATTGTATTTATATTTTATACCTGTATATAAATAAAACAAATAAAAATAAATATAAGCACCATATATATTCACATAATATTGTTGTAAGATATATACAGTATAAAATAATATAAATAAAAATTTTTGTAAATATATATTGTATTTACTGTGTGTGTATGTATATACTGTATATTATACACACACAGTAAGTACAATATATATTTACCAAATATTTTGTATTTATATACATATATATATATATATATAAACAAAAATAAAAATAATAAAAATAAATATAAATACGTACAGTACATATTTACAAAATATTTTGTAAGATAGTTTATCATAAATACAAAAATATTTTGTAAATATGCATATATATATATATATATATATATATATACACACACACACATATATATTTACATATAAAATGTATAGCACTTTTTTGCCTTTACATTTTTGTATTTATATTATTTTGTCTTGAGACTTTCACTCCATCATGAACAATCCCACCTGCACTCTCAGTGCAAAATAATGAGTTTATTGAATGTTGACATCCAGAAAGTTTGCATATTTAGAGAAACTTTCTAAAGCTTAACATACATACAGTTTTTGTCAGTTGAAAAATTACAAGGGAATTAATTACATTACTTTTATACTTTGAAGTATCAAAAGAAAATTCCTTGTGGTACAGTGCACACACCTGACAATTAAACAGTTTTAAGGAAAATCCATAACTGCTGCAACCACAAAGCCTGTAGAGAAATAAATGCCTCAGAATAAGAACCCTCTCATGTACGTCAGTGGTGACTCCACTCAGATGTTTACAAAGAACCCCTCCCATCCATTCAAAAGGCACTGCTTCAGTAATTACAGATTGTACCTTTACCGTGTGTCAAGTGTTACAGTACAGTCACACACCCTGAGCTATATTACTAGAATGTTGATATATAGAGGGAAACCGATGTGCTGTACTATGCCTAGCTGTCCAGTCACCAACTGTGAATCATTGCTTGTTATATGTTAGTTAGTTTACACATGAGTACTTATCATACAAGAATGAAACATGCAACAATGCACAACTTATATAAAAAATCTCCAAATATTGTATTATTGTGTAAACAAGTTTTATGTGATTGTCTTACCATAGGAAATAAATATTATAACAATGTAATATTGCAATAATTCAAAATTTACATAGAGACTGGTAAAAAAGTTTAAGCATTGACGTCACTTGTAATAACAATTTTTTAAAATAATACAAGAGGAGCGAGTCAATAAAAGTTTATAGATCCTAGTCATGGTTATAGTTTCTATGATTTCTGCCACTATGACAGTGTTTATGAGGTGATATATAATTGGGAAAGTCTCCAAGCATAACGTATCATAAATATCATTTAAATATTTTACAAAAAGAGTGGTATCATCCTTACAACACATATGAACAATTGTGAAGACTAACCAGTTGTTTACTGTTACTTGAAAGAGGCACAAAATGTTTTTTTTTAACCATAAAAAAAAATAAACAAATTAACTTGAAATAAATAAATAAATATATTGCACAGACCAAGTACTGGTCTTGAATTTGGGGGAAGAAATTTATAATCTGGAGAAAGACAATTGTAAAGAGCACTCATTTGTCTACTGTTATTCGTTAAAGGCATAAAATTATTCAATATCAATATATGATTAAAATTTTTTAATGTAATATTGCAATAATTCAAAATTTACATAGAGACTGGTAAAAAAGTTTAAGCATTGACGTCACTTGTAATAACAATTTTTTAAAATAATACAAGAGGAGCGAGTCAATAAAAGTTTATAGATCCTAGTCATGGTTATAGTTTCTATGATTTCTGCCACTATGACAGTGTTTATGAGGTGATATATAATTGGGAAAGTCTCCAAGCATAACGTATCATAAATATCATTTAAATATTTTACAAAAAGAGTGGTATCATCCTTACAACACATATGAACAATTGTGAAGACTAACCAGTTGTTTACTGTTGCTTGAAAGAGGCACAAAATGTTTTTTTTTAACCATAAAAAAATAAACAAATTAACTTGAAATAAATAAATAAATATATTGCACAGACCAAGTACTGGTCTTGAATTTGGTGGAAGAAATTTATAATCTGGAGAAAGACAATTGTAAAGAGCACTCATTTGTCTACTGTTATTCGTTAAAGGCATAAAATTATTCAATATCAATATATGATTAAAAAATTTAAATAAATTTAGAGATATTTATAATAATAAATTTGGATGGATGGATGGATGGATGTTGCACAGACCAAGTAATGGTCTTGAATTTGTCAAAAGAAATCTATAATTTGGACAGAGTGCTCACCAAAAAAAAAAAAAAAACAATAATACAAATGATTCAATCTTACAATGCTGTATAATGTGAGATGTGTGTTTGTTTTGGCCCAAAAGTGCAAAAGCTACAGAAGCTGTGTAGAGGCCTGTGCTCGTTTTTTTTTTTACTCAAACTGTGACGCAACACAAATCACAAACATCACAGATGATTTGACAAACAAATAAGCCATAAGCGATGATCTCATGAAAAGTATCTGGCATCGCGACTGTATGCTAATAAGAGGGATGCTAATACAGTCCAAACTAAAACAGACTCTTCTTTCATTCTTTTCCATTTCACTCCACTTCACTTCTAATACTACGGTTGTAAAAAACTGTCAGAGAGGGTGAGACAAGGACAAGAACAGCCATTAAAGCACCCTGGCACACGGCCGTAGAGATTAAAGGAGAGAAAGCATACGAGGAAAATAAGAGTATCGACCAGACTCGGGTCAAACACCTTCAGGAGTAAGTAAATCACAGGTTCAGCTAAAACCTTGTCTCATTTCCTTTGTGAACTGGATGAGAGAGAGAGAACGATTCATCGGATACCGTCTGTTGGTGCATTGCAAGGTCTGTCTCGTTAAAGTGACAGTCTCGTCAAATACTAAGCGAAGCACAGAGACACGCTCTTCTTCCTTCGCTGTCACTCAACAAAATAATTCAAAGAAATGTTTGACCGGGTCTGGCTCCAGCACCCACACAATCCTTCCTTAACACCCCTGTTCTCTAGTGTTTAAAAGACGCTTTATCCGAAGGGATTTACTGAGGTCCAATTGCAAAAACAGTCAGTTCCCCTTGAAGAACTCCGATTTAAGTCAAGGGCAAGGGCACAATAACGGCAGAGCACAAACCTGATTTAAGTAACTCAGCTCGTCTTCACTCCTGCTTCAACCAGAATCTCTATAGCATTCGGACAGCAGTTTGGCCTTGCTACTAAAGGAATATTACAGATTCAGTACAAGTTAAGCTCAATTGACAATGTTCATTAGCTAAACTGATTCCCATTTGTCCCTCTTTTTCTTCAAAAAAAAAAAAATTGGCTTACAATGAGACATTTACAATGGAAGTGATTGGGGCCAAACTGTTTAAAGTTGCAATGAAACAGATGTAGCAACAGATCTTTTCCCTGCGTTTTGTCAAGTACATCCGAGAGCAATGGATTGTCAAAATGAATTATCTTGGTTCTATGAAGTGGTTGCTGATTGGTTAGACTGATTGGAGAAGTCCTGCATACGTCATCACAGAAAAGCCTGTCGTTTTCACTAGAAGGTCTAGTTAGACATTTTGCCTAAACATTATGAAATCAAAATGTAAACCGATGAATTGTTCACACTAACATGCATTTAGAACATAGATAAGGTGAATTTTTAATTCATGTTGACCTTAAATACTCACTGTTTCAAAAGTACAGTCATATGATATAAACAGTATGCATGTTTACATTATTAAGTGTCTTAAATTGCTTACTAACCTTTTCTGTGTATAATTATATTGAATTGTACAACTGTCGCCATTACAAAGAAACACCATAAACCCTAAAACGACTGTAAGCATGATGATTTAAACAACTTTACAGCTCAAATAATACTCAAGTTTTCACAGAATAATTAATGTGTTAAGTATAATTACAAGCTTGACATTTCTGCTTTTAAATCCTCCAAAAAGGGACCCCAATTACTTCTACTGTAAATGCCTCATCATATCTTCCTTTTTAGAAAATCAATGTATTTTTTTGTGCTATTCAGCATTATACCACACATGCTGTCATTTGAGCTTAGTTGGTACTGAATCCAGAACATTCCTTCAAAAAATAAGGTTTGATTAATGGACAAGGACTGTGGAGTTATTTCCTAACATTGGTCTCAGTTGGCTGAAAGTACCGCACTTGTTGAATGTGCAACACAAATTTTCTTTGCTTATACACTACCATTCAAACGGTTCACAGTTTAGGGTCAGTAAGAAATAAATTAATACATTTATTCAACAAGGATGCATAAATTGATCAAAAGTGACAGACATTTTCAACATTGATAACAGAAAGAAATGTTTCTTGAGCACCAAAAATCAGCATATTACAATGATTTCTGAAGGATCATGTGACACTGAAGACTGGAGTAATGATGCTGAAAACATCACAGGAATCAATCATATTAAAATAGAAAACGGTTTTAAATTGTAATAATATTTCACAATTTTACTGTGTTTTCCGGTCAATTAAATCTAGCCTTGACGTTAAACAAATCTTACTGACCCTAACCTTTGAATTGAAATGTAGTAGCAGAATCTGGATTCATATAAATACAGTTTAAAATAATGTGTTTTTATAACTAAGATAGGGAGTTATCAAAAGTGAATGTCAGGAAGCCAAAAGCTGAATCAAAAACTCATCGGCCTCAAATTAAAGTACATATACAACTTTACATTGCCTTCTTGAGATTCCACCATCCCGGACTCATTTGTACAGCAGGGGTAGACGGCTGTTGTGGCAGTTGTTTCGGCTCAGTTTGCCCTCGTCCTGGTACAGGTTGGAAGAATTGGAGAAGGACGCAGGCAGGGACTGTTTGTCTGTTGTGGGGGAGTAGCTGGGGGGCTCAGCCCGAGACGACGAGACGCTGTTCTGATTCTGGACGGATGGGCGTCTGCGAGAACGCAAGGCCTGACGTTCTGCAAGCTGATTCCGCAGCTCCGTCACTCTTTCTTCCTTCTGCACACACACAAAAAAAAAAAAACAGTAGTATTAATATTTGAAATTCTGCTAAACTTCTCCATTTTTGGGTGAACTATTCTTTCAACATTTCCTTTAACATGTATATTTCCTGTGATGGCCCAAGATACGGCCACACATCGCTGAGTGGTAATGTGCTTTTTCACACACCCACATACACCAACATTTATCTTTTTCTTATTTGTGACCCTGGACCACAAAACCAGTCATAAGGGTCAATTTTTTAAGCTTTCAATTGATGTATGGTTTGTTAGGATTGGACAATATTTGGCAGAGATACAACTATTTGAATATCTGGAATCTGAGGGTGCAAATCAATCAAAATATTGAGAAAATCGCCTTTAAAGTTGTCCAAATTAAGTCTTTGCAATGCATATTGCTAATCAAAAATTAAGTTTTGATATATTTACAGTAGGAAATTTACAAAATATCTTTATGGAACATGATCTTTACTTAATATCCTAATGATTTTTGGCATAAAAGAAAAATCAATAATTTTGACCCATACAATGTATTTTTGGCTATTGCTACAAATATACCCCAGCGACTTGAGACTGGTTTTGTGGTCCAGGGTCACATATATCGTTTTGTGTTTTGTATGTTGCAGTTCACGTAATGCTTCACAAACTTATCTGAATATTACATTATACATAAAGTATTAGACTCGGTTTATTTGTCATTCAAATACTTTATGCTCTTCTAAAGGATTAATGAACTGTAAGTTTTTTTTTTAGTTTAGTTCTGATTTGTTGACCTTTTTTTAGGCCTAAGTGTGTTTTTTTTATTTGGAATACTTTTTGGGTGATTTTTTTTGTAAAGAGTTATTAAACAAAATACTTTTTTTCCGTGGGAAATTTTCTGTGTCTTCCTTGCTTTGACTGCTTGGCCCCTTACATTTCCTCTTATAATAAAGCATATTCTGGCCTTAATGAATGAACAACTCAGAAGGTCAAAGACAAGGATGAGTACGATATAATTTCAGTAATTAATTCTACCCTTCTGGGATCCCATTCCGTGCGTTAATTTGTTAATCTATTATGCAGTTAATTAAGACACAAGCACATGAGGAGAAGAGGAAGTGATGGATGGAGGGAGAGAGAAGGAGCACGTGCCTCTTGAATGATCTTCTGGAGTTCCCTGTTCTCGCGCTCCAGCTGTCTTGACTTCTCCTCATCGTTGTTGTTGGACGAGCCGGTTTTCAGCGTGTCCTGCTGTTCCGACTGCCACTCGCCACGAGTGATCAAACGCCGTATCTGCAGAAACGATTGTTAATATCTATGAGACGCCGCAGGGAACGCTCACTGAATTTATGAAATGTCACTGAAATCAATAGTTCATATGGGTGATGTTGTGCAGGAGAGGACGGGTAATAAGTAAGAGATCATTTACAGCCAGGCAGTCGCAAAATAAATCAGCCTGAAGGGTTTATTCTGCGATAAATCTTTAAAAGCATCATATGACCCCTTTAAATCAGATTGTTAGGACTCACTATCTGTCATTTTGCAGATGATTCAATTTAATTAAATTCAAAATTTTAATCATTAAATTAAAGTTAAAAATAGTGCCTAGCAACTCACTGAAATATGTTTAAATTGATGCACTAAAATTAATAACTGGACATAAAAAAAACTGAAATAAAAATAAATGAAACCTAAATAGTAGTATTTAAATAATAATAATAATAATATGACAAAAAGCACATAAAATTAATCATATCTTTAAAACTGTCTGTCAATCATTTTGCAGGTGATTAAAGGAAAAGACAAGAAAATTAACACATACATTTTTTAAAATTTAAACCACTTACGAATGTGGTTTCGATCTAGTTTCAGATTTTACAAGTGTTAAAAGTGTTTGTTTTGCCTTTCAGACAAAAGAGTCGGATATGTGAGAGAGAGAAAAAATTAATATATATATATATATTTTTTGCTATCTAAACAAGGCCTTTGTGTACCAAGCTATCATCACCACTAGAAGGCGTAAATGAACTGTAAGAAAAACTTAAATTGCAGAGCAGAAACAGTGCCATGAATGAGAGAAACTGATGAGATAAAGATAGTAAAAAGAAAAGGAAAGGAGCATGAGACAAAAACAAAAAGTGAGAGACCGAGAACTGTTGATGAAAAAGAGAGGTCATTTTGCTGAAACACTTGCAGCAGGCAGCAGAGAGATGAAGATCTTATACTATGAGTGGAGATGTCATCATATCTGACGAACAGTGTGGAAAAATAACTGGTATTTACCTTCAACAACCTAGAATGACTCTACAGACCGATAACTGCGAGCAATGAACCGACCGCCATGACTGTCCAGAGTCAAAGCAACGTCCAGAGCACCACAAGTCTATTTCCTCTCTGACCTCGACAGCACTGGAGCGATACGAGCTATTCTGTCACAAAACATCGCCTGATGGAAAGTAAACTGCTCGCTATGTTTGAGATCTCAAAAAAAAAAATCTGCTGTACGTAGATCAGATTTGTACTTTCCCTGGTGACATTTTTACCGGCTCGTTTCTGAATCTTGCATCACTGTAAAAACAGACAGTAAATCCTTTGCTTTTGATCAACCCAACAACCCTCAAGTAGCATCAAAGCAGGCATGTTATTCCTGACACAAGGCAGAAACATGGTGCCATTCTGGGACTTGATCTGATCTTATGAAAAAAATAGCTGTAGGACTGACGTAAAGTGTTTGCATTACCAGTGTTACTTGTTTCCTAATTAGGATGTTTTAGTTTGAGCAAATGGGTGCAATTATGCAAATCATCCTTCGAAGCACTTGGAGTTATTACCGGAATCAAACTGTTTGCAAGCAGTTGAGCAGTTCAGAGTGAAGCACAAAACGTCAAAAACTGTGTTAAAAAAGGGTCAAAAATACATACACTTAAAATTAGCATTACATCAATGGCTATTATTTTGTTTTCACAGTAAGTCATTATTGTAGGTTATAGATCATTTTAATACATTGATTTACATTTTATTTAAATAAATAAATAGTATAAACATATTATAGAAATATATTATAGTATAATTTATATTTATACTTTTTAACCTTGCTACACAACAGAATAAGAAAATAAACCATCAGCTATAAATTAAAAGTAAAAGACAAATAAAAGAAGTCTCTTGAATTTAACTAATACAAAATATTATATTAATATTAACAACTTCACTAATAAGTCATAAAGGTCAAGTTAAAATCCGGAAGGAGTAAGAAAACAAAAACCTTTATGCCAGTATATGCTATTGTCCAGAAATGTGGGGTCTGTGAGATTTTTAAATTATTATTATTATTTATTATTACAATTTAAAGTAACTGTTTTCTATTTAAACATATTTTAAAATGTAATTTATTCCTGTGATGCACAGCTGAATCTTCAGCATCATTACTCCAGTCTTCGGTGTTTCATGATCCTTCAGAAATCATTCTAATATGATCTCAATAAACAATTTTTTAAATTATTATTAATGTTGAAAACAGTTGTGCTGCTTAATATTTTTGCAGAAACTGATACATTTTTAGGATTCGTTGACGAATAGAACGTTTTAAAGAACAGCATGTAAAAGAAGTCTCTTGAATTTAACTAATACAAAATATTATATTAATATTAACAACTTCACTAATAAGTCATAAAGGTCAAGTTAAAATCCGGAAGGAGTAAGAAAACAAAAACCTTTATGCCAGTATATGCTATTGTCCAGAAATGTGGGGTCTGTGAGATTTTTAAATTATTATTATTATTTATTATTACAATTTAAAGTAACTGTTTTCTATTTAAACATATTTTAAAATGTAATTTATTCCTGTGATGCACAGCTGAATCTTCAGCATCATTACTCCAGTCTTCGGTGTTTCATGATCCTTCAGAATTCATTCTAATATGATCTCAATAAACAATTTTTTTAATTATTATTAATGTTGAAAACAGTTGTGCTGCTTAATATTTTTGCAGAAACTGATACATTTTTAGGATTCGTTGACGAATAGAACGTTTTAAAGAACAGCATGTATTTAAAATTGTCTTCTGAAATGTCTTCACTGTCACTTTTGGTTAATAGAATGCATAATTGTGTAAATATGAATTTCTTTCAAAAACAAACAAACATTACATTTTGTGATTTGAGTAACTTTGGGATTTCATTCTTGTTTTCTAACAGGTAAAGAGACTTTTCTCATGAGCAAACTACTTATCATAATTCTACAGTGCAGACAGGCAGCGTTTAAAGTGAGATGGGGCGGCAAGTAAAACACTGGGAGCTGCTTGAAAAAAGTCGCCTGCTGAGTCACAATTTATTTTCAAGACGACGGACGAGCAACACAATAGCACCCCTGAAACTGCTACAGCCCCGGGTGACAGCGTATATTACTTTTGCAGGTTTCCGCCACTGCTTATATGCAGCTTCACAATGAACTCAACCTTTTGTCATATATTTATTAAGGAGTCACATATTGTGGCTGCTAAACTCTTGGGGAAGATATAATAGTTAAATAGTTTTGTCTGGAAGGGCACAGTATTCCTAAAATACATATGATGCATATAATTATATATTTGACGAAACAGTCTCATGTGTTTCTCCCAGCTGTCAGCTACGGTTAGGCTACGCTATGAGGACGTTTTGTGCTGCAAATATAGAAATAGCCAGCAGTCAGACTTACAGCTACATTGTAGATGGCCATGCCAACCGCTCTATGGTCATTTATCTTCTCTGTGGAAATGGACTTGGTCTCGTAGGCCAGAAAGATTCCCAGCAGCAGCAGAAGTCCCTTGTAGCCGTACACCACACCTGAAGGGAGACAGCATTACTTACAGTATAGTGAATGCTCTTAAAGCTCTGAGGTTGGCTTAAGATAATGTCTCACATGGAAACTGTATGCTTTCTATTTTTGTGGTACTTGTATGTGATGTACGTGATGGTCTTGAGTCCAATAATGTACAAAAAAAATAAATGTAGGCAGAATAACCTAAAATATTTTAAACAAATAATTTGTTTGAATCGGTTCTTTGGGAGTGAAACAGTGAGGTGGATGATTTGTTCAAATCATAAATGGGACCCTGGACCACAAAACCAGTCATAAGGGTCGATTTTTCAAAACTGAGATTTATACATCATATGAAAGCTGAATAAATAAGCTTTCAATTGATGTATGGTTTGTTAGCATAGAACAATATTTGGCCGAGATAGAACTATTTGAACATCTGTAATCTGAGGGTGCAAAAACAATATAAATATTGAGAAAATCGCCTTTAAAGTTGTCCAAATAAAAAAAGTTCTTAGCATATTGCTAATCAAAAATTAAGTTTTGATATATTTACGGTAGGAAATTTACAAAATATCTTCATGGAACATGATCTTTACTTAATATCCTAATGATTTTTGGCATAAAAGAAAAATTGATCATTTTGACTCACACAATGGGCCTCATTTACGAAACGAACGTACGACAGAAAATTGAGCGTACGGTCGTTTCAACGCAAAATTTGGAATTTATCAATATGGACGTGAGCGGTGGCTACGATCAAATCTCACGTCTGGTCTCAGCTCGTGTACGAGTTTTTGAGTTACCTGAAGTTGCGCACAGCATAGTAAATACGGTGGAGAATTGTAGATTGACAGCATTTTGTTCATTTTTATATTCCTGACCGTCAAACGAAGCTCATTAGTCGATCGTTAACCAGTAAGATTAGAATGTCTTTTTTTGGTGTTGTTTTGTACAGGGCTTTAGCTTTATATGCGCGAATAGCAGCATAAACAACCATGAGGATTCAATCGTCGCATCATGCACCTGCAGC